TTTTACTTATAACTTTTTTCCTTATCGGATATGCCAATCATAACATTGAAATTGCTTTTTATTTAGTTGATGTTGCTATATTTGATAGAATTTTCAAAGTGTAAGTATGAATAATTCAAAGTACGATGCTTTGAATAAAGAAATAAATGAATGTGTACTGCTATTTTAATTAATTTAGCTCTTATTATTATTATTATTATTCATGATGATTAAACAAGATATCATAAACACCAGGATGTAGCAATAAATTAAAAACATGAGGAGCATCAAGTACCCATGGCCAATTATGGTCCCTAGCTTGTTAACAAATTACACAACCAGTTTGAGCAACTAACTGTGAGTAATTTGTTTCAAATAATCTAATATAGACAATTGAGTAATCTGTGAATGATTACTCATTTGACACCAGAAATATGTTTGAACATCGAGCATATGATAAGTTGACGCATGGAATTGAAAGAGATTATTCAAAATTGATTTCGCTATCTCTGGCAAAATCACTTTGAAGCATGAGTGATGAAATCATGAAGCTCTTCATTCATACTTTCTTCAATCCCAAAGGAAGAACTCGTCGATCAAACAAGAATATCAACCATTTCGATTAATCAATGGAATCAACATAGAAAGCATAAAGAAAAGCACTAGAAGTCCAGAACAAAAGGCGATTGAGAAGTGAGAGTAAGGAAGTGCAACACAACAATAAATCGGCAAGGAGAAGTGCAATGCAACTACCGGCGGTGGCGACCAGTGAGTTGGGAATTTCGGTGAGGAGAACTGGAGAAGGCGTTTATTGTTCATTAGTGCAGCGACGAGGATAAGTTAGTGCTTTATGCGTCTTTTCGATTTTGTGTGGTTTACTGATTTAGGACACACATTCAATTATTAAGGGACTAAGAGAAAATATCAACCGACCAAGGGAGTGACAAATAAAAGAGTACATTACTTTTTTTGGAAATCGGCAAATATATTAATCAAAGAAACCACATCAAGCTAATGTGGGAAAACGAAAAGTACAAGACAGTCAAAAACAAAAACTACAGACAAAGAGTGGGGCATAAATTCCAAACTCTCCAATCTACATTTTTGCATGGAGTTCTATGCTTGCACCAAGTAAACGTCATCGCTTTTATCTTAAATGTTATGACCGCCGATGAAGTGTGAATCTGTTCGTACACCCGTTTATTCCTGGCTAACCATAAGCACCATAATGCTCCATTAAAAATCATATTCAAAAGCCTCTTTTTTCTATTACATCCGGAACACCTTGAGACGAATAGTATCAACTCCCTTACCGACGTAAATCTTCCACAATTGAGTTCACACCAGGATGTTATCGAATTTAAGACGGAAATCGCAATTGGGCACGTAATCAAAATGTGGTCCGACGTCTCCTCTTCCAAGCTGCAACCACTACATCTAGTTGATGGGATAGTGATCCCACGCCTACTAAGTGCCACCGCCGACGGAAGTCTACCTTGTTTTGCTTTCCACATGAAGGAGAGAATCTTGAACGGAGTCCATTTCCCCCAATCGAACGGTCCATCACATACAACAAAGTCGGCTAGTTCAATCCTTTCCCGTATCCGAGACACCATGAATCGTCCGTCATAAACAAACTCTGATTTCCACTCACCCTCACCCACGTTCCACGATATTATATCTTTGGGATCAATGTTGATCGTTTGCAGAAAAGATCTTGATTTGATTATGTTTTTCCATACCCCCGTACTCGATCTATTCGCGAACACTGACCAATGCCTTCCATCTAACTTATGCAAACATCGAATAGTTTTTGCCCACAGTGATGAGTTCTCAGATTTCAAACGCCACATCCATTTTGCTAGCAGTGAAATGTTGATAGATTTAATCGAACCTAGTCCGATCCCCCCAATCGTCCTTGGAGAAACGAGCTTATTCCAAGCCACCCAATTAATACTTTTTTTCTCGTACACCTTGTTCCAAATGAAGTTTCTTCTAATTTTTTCCAGCGTGTCAATCACACCTTTCGGGACTGCAAAGATTGACATGTAATATATAGGCAAGTTGCCAAGGACCGCCTTAGCCAGGGTTACTCTACCACCGAAACTTAAAGATTTCGCTTTCCAAGTCGTGAGCTTATTTTGGAACTTTTCGATAACCGGTCTCCATGCTCGCTTCCTATTCATATTTTCACTCACCGGAACTCCTAGATAAGTGAAGGGAATGGATGAAGGTTCACACCCAAGAGGAGCCGCCCAGTTTGAAACTTCTAAATTAGGTACCCCCACCCCATAGACTTTTGACTTTGTGAAGTTCACTTTTAGTCCGGACGACACGTGGAAGCATCGTAATATTCTTGATAAATTCGCAATGTTTCTCCTTGACCATTCGCCTATGAATAGCGCGTCATCTGCATAGAATAAATGAGACAAGCAAATGTTAGGTTGTGAGAATTTAATTCCTTCAAATATTCCTTTCTCCACTGCTGATATCATGGCTTGATTGAGTCCCTCCATCGCGATTAAAAACAGAAAGGGAGAGAGTGGGTCACCCTGTCTGACCCCTTTTGTCATTGGAAATTCTTTAGTTGGGCTACCATTGATTATTACAGACGCCCTCCCAGAACTCAGACAGCCTTTCAACCATAATCTCCATTTCAATCCAAATCCCATTTGTTCCATGATAGAGTCCAGGAACGCCCAATTTATCGAATCAAACGCTTTATTAAAATCAGCTTTAAAGAGTAGTATCTTTTTGCCTTTAGCCTTTGCCCACGAGCAAAGCTCGTTAACTATCATTGGTCCTTCCAGTATATTCCTTCCTTCCACATACGCTGATTGTACCTCTCCAATGATGTTACCAATCACGTTTTTTAATCTGATCGCCAACAACTTCGCAATGATTTTATATATCGATCCAATCAGGCTTATTGGTCTGAAATCTCCGAAGTGCGTTGGATCCTTAGATTTCTCCACTAGAGATATGAAAGAGGAGTTACATCCACACGATAGCTTTCCGTGAACTTCAAAATACTTTACCATCCCCACCAATTCCTCTCTCAACAGCTCCCAAAACTTTTTTATAAATTTAAACGTGAATCCATCCGGTCCCGGAGATTTTTCATCCCCACATGCCCAAACTGCTCTTTTTATTTCCTTTGTTGTAATTCCAGCTTCCAAGAATCTAGCATCAATTCCAGAAAGTCTTTTAAAACCTGGATTGCAAAATTTTGGTCTAATGGGCCATCTTTCTTTAAATTTATTCCCAAAGAACTTTTCTGCCTCCTTTTTTATATTCACCGGGTTAGTACTCCAAGCGCCATTTATCATGATCCCATGTATATGGTTTTTACGATTTCTGTTGTTCACGTAGGTATGGAAGAAGCGAGTATTCTCATCACCATCAATTTCCCATTTTAATTTTGCCCTTTGCTTTAGGTTCATGGCTAACCTTCTAGCGTGATCGTCCACCTTAACTCCTAAAATTGATCTTTCTTTCATCTCATTAATAGTCATAGGCCTAGATTCAGCCCCCATCTCGATTTCAGCTATTCTCTTTTTCCATTCATCTACTTCCTTCTTCTCCTTATCAATTGCGTTTATTTTCCAGTTTCTAATCGCAAGTTTGAGATGCTTCAATTTATTCAAGAGAATCATGTCAGGTGTACCATAACCCCTGAACTCTGAGCACGCTTCCTTAATAACTTCATCCAGATTGTCGTTAAGTAACCATGAGTTTAAGAACTTGAACGGAGGCGGACCGAAATCCACGTTACTAGCTCTCAATATAATGGGGGAGTGGTCTGAAAGGTCTCTGTTCATTGCAAAGGAGGAAGCAAGAGGATACACGGAAAGGAAATTGGAACATACCAGAAAACGATCTAACTTACTTAGTTTCCCACCAAGAGTTCTAAAGTATGTAAATTTTTGGCCTCCCATCTTCAAGTCCGTCAGTTCACCGTTGAGGATGAATTTGTTGAACTCATTTGCACTCCGAGCACAGAATTCAGAATTAATCCTTTCGTCTTGGCGCCTTACCACATTGAAATCCCCCATGAAGATCCAGGTTGCCGATCTCGATAGTTTTATTGCCAACAGTTTGCCCCACACTTTAGCTTTCTCACGTTCCTGTTGAGGGCCATAGACATTTACGACCCCCGTTAGCCCATCTATTCCCACAAAGTTCCCCATTGTTACGATATAATTCCTTGATTTAATCACTTCTACTAACGAGAACATTCTACTATCCCATATCGTTATTATTCCTCCCGATCTTCCCGTAGAGAATACTTGCTCAAAGTTACAGTCTGCGTCACCCCAACAGTTAGATGGATTGAAAAGCGGAGACTCTTCCCCCAATTTTGTTTCCTGAATCCCGACCAAACATAGTTTATTTTCTCTCCTTAGTCTTCCTACCCAATCTGTTTTATGTTTCTCTCCCAGACCTCTGATGTTTAGTGACATGATGTTCATTATATTAGCTGGTTTTCTCCTTCTTCACTAATTACATCTTTGAGGACTTCGTTATCACATTCCAAATCGAATCCCAGCATTTTACCTACCTCCACCATGTTCCTGATTTCTGACAATGAAGTCGAGTGTGACTCGTCGTCCGATTCCGGGAGCGGGATATGGGAAGGGATCGGTTCTAAATTTAAGTCGATGGGGGATTGATCTGAAGACACCATTTGATTTTGATTTTCCATGGGCGACTCAAAAATCGGCGTCAATAATCGTCTTCTTTTATCAGAGGATCCTTTAAAATTATTGTTGGTTCGACCCGGAATTGGTTCACTTCGAACCATATTGTTATGAAAAGGGCCAAAGCAGCCTGTTAAAGGTAACGCGTTTAGGGGCCCATTTGACAAGTCCATATGGCCCAAATTGGTAGACTCTAGGTTTTTAGACGGCGCAATATTTCCTGCATTCCCATTTGACTTTCCAATAACCGACGGTTCATTAACGTTTGCATTAATTTGCGCCCTTTGGGATTCTCAACGCAATTCGGTTTCACTTCCTCCGTCAGTCCGGTACCATGATCGCCGGAGGCGGCCCCATCTCCGAGTTGTTATGCTTACCGACCACATGCAAGTGAGAATTTATTTCCGTTCCATCCTCTTCTCTAATCTCACCCTCTTCAGACTCTTCCTTTTCATACTGTATTGGAGGGGTATCCGATACATGATCTTCATCGTCCGATCCGACCAAGTCATCCACTTCGTTTTCATCTTCGTCTGACGAGGAAGTATCCTCCAATGAGTGATCAAGCTGCTTAAATGGAGTCCAGTCAAGATCGACTTCGTCAACTCGGATTTTAATTGTCTTTCCATTAATCTCTACTGTCGGCTCACTTGAGATGGATGATAACGAGCTTGTGATGACACCGACTTTCCCATAGACTAAATTCGCACTGGATGTATCAACTTCGAATGGAACAATCACCCTGTCCATCAGTCCGACGATTTTCGAGAAGTTATCTTCTGACCATAGTTTTGGTGGGAGGCCAATGATTTTTAGCCATGCTATCCTTTCGAAGTTATAAGTCGCGATATCGCCGCTCTCCATCGACCGAAACCATTCCGACCACCTATCCAGGAACGAATCTCTGCTCTTGTCATCTATGAATTTGACGCCCATTCGTAGCCCTCCCAAGTATTTTAGTTCACATTCTGACCCATCACAGTTCTTGAATGCAAGTGGCGCCTTTTCGAGATGGTCGAAGCTGTGTATTTCACCAATCAAAGTTAACTTACTACTCAACCATCCCTTAAGCGGTGAATCGTCTGAGATCTTAATTGGAGATAAAAGTTCCGCTTGGGTTTGGTAGGCCGTAGTTCTCCCAAGTTTATTACTACCTCGTACCACCTCAGCGAAGGATCTGTTATCTCTACCTCTCCATCGATGTTCCTGTGGTCTTCTGTATTGGTTCTGATTCCTCGTAAGCTTGTCCCCTTTTGAATCGATCGATTTTCTTGCAAACCTTGCTATGTTGATCTCCAACGATTTTTCTTTAAAAGTTAAGCCTTGAAGGGACTCCTCAAGTCTCCGTTCATCTCCCGTCGCTTTAAATCGCACAAAAGCAAAAGACTTTTTGTTTACGTCTTTCTTCGCAGCCACATACACATCCACCACTTCCCCGTATTTGGTGAAGAAACTTTTTAAGGGTTCAATCCTGGTCTCCTGAGGAATATTAGATACAAACAGCGTCGTTACCCCTGCATGATTCCAACTTTTTTGATTTCCTATCGCCGCTGTCTTCCTTCGTCTTCTATTCGTAGCCTCTTGCCAACCTCTGTCAGTCGCCATCTCATCAATTTTATATTTCAGTTCATATATTTATCATATGGTCCATTGTAACGAAGAGAGGTGATGTCCATTGAAAAGAGTACATTACTACATATCCAAATATCCTACTTAAAACATTTAATAAATAAATAACTTTTTTATTAAAATCATAAACGGGTCACGGGTCAATCCAGGTTTTTTTTGTCAAACCCATAAACCACCCATGTATCTTCATATCCGTTTCATGTCGGGAGCCTAAATTCGGCATGCGAAAAGATGGGTCGGTGTGATGGTGATCCATTTCCCACATCCTAATCGTTTCATATTTATCCTCATGGCACATAATTTTAGGAGTTCACGCATGACTTTGAGAATACAAACAATTTGTTTGGTCTCTTTTGGACCTTTGTCTTCTATTTTACAAATCTACTTCACATGTTAATTTTTGTCTTCTTTAACCTTATACAAACAAATCCAAAATAAATATCACAAGATAATGTTAGAAATTTGGGTGTAGAAAGGCTTGGAAATTCTGAGAATTGTGATTATCACTTTCAAATCGAAGTATTTGGTGGTACTCCCAAATCTTCAATTGGATAAGACTTAGAGAGACAAGAACCGATAATGTTTGGTGATATTTTCGTATGTACTAGAAAATGAGACCAAAACCAACTTTAATATCTTTGTCTGAAAACTATCATATGACAGTTTTAAACTGTCATAAAACCATAAAAACTATCATAAAACGGATATATGGATAAGGGTAAAACCAATGGTCAATTTTCTGAAAAATCAATTTTCGATCCCAGCCAGGGGCTCTGTCCCTTGGACCCCGCTCCCAGGGGTGCTGCCCCCAGATCCCCGTTCGTTCAGGGGCTTCGCCCCTAAATGACAATGTACTTTGAAACTTGATCAAACTTAAACAAGTGTGTACTCCACACCTTCCTTACTTGTTTAATATTTATCAAGATCATTTTTGATCAACACAAAGTAATTTCATTACACTTAAATAACATTGATGATCAAAATCACCAACAGATAAGGATATTCCATAATAAACATACATTTATAATATGCTATGAGTAACCATAGGCTGCCGCCAAATGGTAAATTGGTAATTATTCATTTAAAAAACCAATGGTAACACTTTTAGTAAATATCAATTTCATTAAAACCATATATAACAATTCCACATTATCAAAAAGGCTTGTAAGTTGTAATATGATCATTTGTATATATAAAGAAAACAAGTGAGATCGACTAACTTTTCTTCTAAAAGCTGAATATATAACTCATTTTATTCTTCCAATAATCTAATTAAACGCTTTACATACACGTCTAATGTTCCCATTAGAATCATCCTTGGTTCCGATCCTTCCCATTCTCACCATGGAATTCACAAAATCCTCCTCAAAAGTCACCGGATTCAACCCCCCAAAATACGAATCCACTATTCCCTTTGTCGTCGGGTCATCCATTAGCTTTGCATCCGATTCTAGCACTCCAAAACCACTTCTTATATTTTGTAAAATTTGATTATCAAAAGTCTCTCCACTCCCATGATCCATGGGCAACCGGACCATTATGTCCCCGTTTTTAGGGCATGTATGTGTCAGTTCGGGTAGGAAACTAGGGTTTATCCTCGGGTCCGGACCTCCAGTATCAGCAAAGTTGTATAGCCGATCCTCCATGAAGAAGCATGCAGTTGTACCAATAGTGTGAGCAGCTGAAATTGATTCACAAAAATAAATGTATATACATATGCTTAAAGTAGCTACGTAGATTCAATCAACTTCTCAAGTTCATGACTTAATGTTTGGTTGTGAAACTAGCCTATACATGATGCCTAATTTGGAAATTATGATGTAATTGATCCTAAAAAAACATATAAGTACACTAACAAAATCAATGCAGAATCTCGTATTTTAAGAGAATAGAAATGCATGAGTAGTTGCACCTGTTCAAATTTATTGCGAAACTAGAGTATTTCAGGCAAGAAAGAACATGCAGTTGGTCGTTGACAGAATTACAAAAGTAGTAAATACTAAATACTATGGGCACGTACAGCTGTATTTTGGTTTTAAAATAGTAGTAAATACGAGGACACAGTCAGAACATGCATTTTGTTGTTGATAAATCCTAGGAATTACAAAAGTAACTGTCGTAAATGTTTGTTGCTTTAAACACACTGAAATTTTCTAACCGATAAATGATGGTTTTTTTATCTTATAGAAAATATCGATATATATATATTATTTTATTGACTTTTTTAAGATTTGTTTCAATGTGTTCATATGGGACCCAAATAAGTACATCCTTTAATTTCTTGATATATCCACATTCCTTTTCATGGTATTTAGCATTTTTAGTTCAATTACTGTTTAGTTTCATGCAAAATAACGTTTAAATGTTAAAGAAATACACTTCTAATTACTAACGCCTCCATATCATTTAAACACGAAACCAGCGAATCTGTGATCGGTGATTCTAAAGCCAATACTATCAGTATTTCATTCAGTTGTAAGTATATAAACATGTAAAAAAGTTTTCGAAGTACGTATATAAGAAAATAAAATCGTAAAATGTATAGAAAGATAGACATTACCACTAAGAACCACAAGGTCTTTGTCGTTAAGTCCTTTTTCGATGAATTTTTGCTTGAGAAGCTGAATTGAGTCTTTAACATCTGGCATTCTGTCAGCAAGATTTATATTTGATACCAGACCATCTTTCCTTCCTGTTTCGACTTGATAAGATGGCCCACCACTCTGCTCAAACACCATTATCATTAACAACAAACGACGAAAAAGATTTCATTTTTACTCTCTTTCACACACTAACTGTGTGTGTGACAAAGAGGTAGATGATCATTAACTTTCTTTCACTTACAATAGCAACACCATCTCTCGCAGCCATGGTAACAATATCCGCACATGAAACTACGCCTGGACAAACACTTTCCAGCTTCGCTTTTGCGTTCTCTACTACATCATACCCTTGTACCCCTTGATGCCCGAATGCCAATCGCTCTGAATCTTTTCCTATATCTATCAGAATCGACCCATCACATCCCTGAAAATTTCGCATTCAATTAATCAGTTACTTAACTAAAGAAAAACATAAGTCCAATTCGTCATATGTATTATATATATTGAGAGAGAAAGACTGAAAGAAAGAACCTCGACGAAGCAGTCATGGAAGTGAAGCCTGAGCATGATAGCAGGAATCTGAGGGTTAGAATTGGCTGCATCTCTCACAAAACCGGTAACTATTGATTCTGCTTCGGGACACACATCATTGTAAAACCCAACTTGGAGTTGGGCATTTGAAAACCCAAATATCAGTTCGAATAATACGATCATAAACAACATCACTGTTCTCATTTTGATCATTTCAACAAAACGGTTTAATGTATTTGTTGGAATTAATGCGAAAGAGATGAGATATTTGGAGCTTGGTGGGTCTGATATGCTTAGAAGAAGGTTCAGCTTAGCATTTAAGCTTTTGCCAGCCACATTTCTAAATTATTGCAGTCTTAAAATACACGTCAATTTCTATTAAAAATTTGTTGAATAGGAGTGAGAATGAGATAGGGACAGAAAGATGCGTTATTTATGGGTTTATGATCAGTTTTGGTAAAAATATATAGAACGGAATTTTTCTATGTTGGAATTGTTGTTGGGGTTGCTAAATTGTATTTATGGGCCTTGTTTTTGACGTATGGTAGTATTATTTTCTCTAAATAACTTTTCAAGTGGTATCCAGTTTATATATGTGTAGTGAATTGAAATCAAATGAAAACGTATATGATAAAATGTTAAAAAACTTGTTGCGTCATTAGCTAATTCATTTCCAAAACACGGTGCATTGAAAAAAGATAGTGTCCCGGAAAACTAGCCAAAATGCTGTGGATGACACCTAAATCAATCCTAACACACATGTGCGTTTTGTTCTCGAGTTTTTTTGTAAAATCATTAAAGGAAAGAGAGGGAAAATGTTAACGGAAGGAAAGGGAGGGGAAGGAAAATTTTATTTAATCCGTGTTCCTGAGTTTGAAGGAAATGAAAGTAAAATTTTTAGTTTATGTGTTACCGAATTAAGAGGGAAAAGAGAAGAAAATTAAAAGATTACAATTATACCCCTATTTACACATCATGTTAAGAACATGTAAACAACATGAATAAACTACAATGGAAATCAAAATCAATCAAAAACATTTAATCAAACAATCAACTAATTAAAACCACTATTAAGTCAACAATGAAAACCTAGAAAATCAAAATTTCCCCTCTTACAAATGAAGTCCAATGCAACCTACTATAAAAAACAAAAAAAATCCCATAAAACCTAAAGACATGACTCAATTTTTAGCTTTATTCATCATCTTTCTTAAAAAGATCTTCCTCATCCTCATTGAAGAACTAAAAATTGTCCTAACATCGACTTGATTACGCGACAAATATATGAAAGCATCGGCAAATTCATCGTCATCCAAACCCATCAACTCTAACTCTTTCTCGATTTCCTCACCTGTATAGTCACGAGATTTGTTCCCTTCCCTCATAACATCAATAATTTCTTTAAATGTTTGGACAATATTGTGTTCAAAAGATTCTGATTCAGGTTGAGGTTGAGGTTCAGGTTCAGGTTTAGGTTCAGCTACTACTTCATCTTCATCTTGACGTTTGCTTTCTAGTTTTCTTTTTTTACTCTTCAGCTTCTTGGCTTTTGAACTCCCATCAGGTGAAACATCTGTTGGTGACACTATTTGAATGTCCTCATCATCATCTTTGTGTTCGTTCTCCAAACTTACCTCCTTATTTGCCATTAATTTATCCACATCAACATTTTTTTCTATTTTAATTTCTTTGGATTTTGCATAACCAGCCGTGTTTTTTTTGCTGTTTCCGCTTTTGATCCCAATGCTCTATCTTCTGAAAATAACATCACAAACTGATTGTAGTTTGAAATTTTTTTGGTCCTAAATGCAGCTGCTTCAGGGTTTGCCTGTTTATAAACAAACCAAAAAATTAATTAGTCTTTCAAATGATAACTGACACCTTTATATGGTGTCATTAGTTCAATGGTATGAGGCAAACTAGCGTCTACCAAACAATATCGGCCTATAAATAACATGTAATTAGTTTTCTAATAAAAGATTACACACAAAATTAAATTAATTAACTAAAAAATTACCCCTAGGAATTAGTAGCTTATCGTCTCTTTTAAGTGCATCTTTCACTATCCTTGAGTCTGAGGCAGTGCCCTCCCACCCAGTTAAAACGTACGTAAACTTCAAATCAAATGAACACACGGCTAAGACATTATGGTAGGGTAACCCTTGTGACAACGATATCTAGGGGCATCTCTATTGGGTACTTTTACACGAACATGTGTCCCGTTAATTGGCCCTACACAATTCTTTAAGTAAGGATAAAATCTCTTTTTCTCTTGAATTTCTTTTGGGACCACATCACCTTTAGGTTATTGAATGTAGTAACTTTCTAATGCTACAACCGCGCGAAGAACTCTATGGAAGCACCTACTTGTTGTAGATTTAGCATGCCCATAAATGAAGGAGACCATTGTATTTCTCATATCGTTACCTACGATGTGTAGAAACCTTGCAACATGTTCTTCAACAAACATGTGTTGTGTAGGTCGCAGTCCACCATCACGTCGTAAGATAATACACAACTTTCTAAAAGCTTGTTCACTCACACGAATAAGCTCACGACATTTCCCACCATTAATAAGTTTGTATAATAGTCGATCTCGTTCAAGTTGACGCTTTAATAGTTCTTCCTTACTAAGTAAATTGTGGTTATTTTTTTGAAAGTCTACGTTGTATTGCAATGACCATGAACATCAGAGTAACCACTAGCCTTCGTCTTTTTTCCCCATTGTGACAACCGTCAAATTTCGGTCAAGTCAAAGTCAACTAAAGTCAGCAAGTCAAACCGTTTGACTCAATTTCCCCGTGAGTACTAAAATTTACACTATGAAACTTCTACATAACTCTCTATTCTAATGAGAAATCATAAAGAAAAAAGTGCGAACACCTATATCTCCTTAACCTAAAAACTGTGGTATGTGGCGAGCCAAACCGATAAAACAATGTTGCATACTCATCGGGAGTGTGTAAGATCCTTAAACAAGGCTTAACAGGGTTTACGAACCATGCATTGCGATGCCGGACACTCACAATTGTCACACATGGAACCTCTCTCAATCGTTTTCACTCTATCTCTCTCTATGTCAAATCTCTCCAAGTATGTGAAATCTCTCTCAAATATCTCTCTGTATTAGAAATCTCTCCAAGAATGTCAAATCTCTCCCAAATCTCTCCAAGTATGTGAAATCTCTCTCAAATATCTCTCTGTATTAAAAATCTCTCCAAGAATGTCAAATCTCTCCCAAATCTCTCCAAGTATGAGAAATCTCTCCCAAATCTCCCTCATTTAGAATCATTCGGGTCATTCCGGCCCTTAATCGGGTCAAAAACGGCTTAAAACGGGGCGAAAACGCGAAAAACGGATCTTAGGAACCGAAACCCCTCTTAGGAACCGAAACCCCTCTTAGGAACCGAACCCTCCTGATGAAGAAGGCTGCTGAACCGAACCGAAGGTACTGTTCACTACTGTTCACTACAGTTCATTCGGTTTTTGACTTCTCGCCTTCTATCTCCGAACCGAGCCTCTGTTGGCTAAGGGCGCGAGGACCGAGCCTCGGTTCTCGGTCACCTCATCTGTCCCGCCTCTCTGTCCCTTCCCACCTCTCGGTTCTCTCTCTCTCTCTCCTTTCTTCCCTCTCGGTTTCCACCCTCCCCCTCTCGGTTCCTCTCCTTTCTCTTCTCTCCTCTTGGTTTCTGGCTCCCTCCTCTCGGTTTCAGCATCAGAAGGCCGAACCTCGGCCAGAATCCGGAAAATTGTCACTTTTAGCCCATTTTTGATATTTTTAACATTTTAAGCCCGTTTTTCGTGATTTTAAAGCGGGATTTTCTCAAGAAATTATATTTTAACATAATAAACCCTAAATATTCATAATTTAAGCATATTTTAATGAAAATCATTATTTAAATAATAAAAATCAAATGGGTGAATTATTAAAGGTGGAGTGTTGACTTTGCCTTATCCAAAGTCACAAGCAACCACCCCACACCCACTCTATGACCAGCCATACCTCCCCACCTTACCTAGGTCACTTCAATGTCCCTCACACTCAATTTACACTCATTCCCACGTTTTTAGAGCTGGAACAAACATCCTCTCTCCTCATTTCTCTCATTTGCCCTCATTTCACTAAGTATCAAACACCACTTTTCTCTCAAACTTTTCCCACTCCAATTTCGAGATTCAAGGCTGATTTTCAAGTGTTCTTCCACTCTTAGTAAGTATAATTCATCCTCCTTATGATTATTTCACTTCATTCTACTCAAATCATGAATATCTTACACAAACTCCATCATATTAACGTTAGAGCTTCGAATCTTCAAGTGATTCTTCAAGTGTTCTTGGGTTGAACACTTCTCTTCTTCAACACTTATCTACTGAAATCACTCAAGGTGAGTTCATACCCCTACATTTTCATGTTTTCTCAAGTTTTTAAGGGGGGAATACAAGTTAAAACACTAAGAACATAACTAAAATTTTCTAACAGCCTTCATCAGAAAAGTTCAACTCCATTCACGGACTGTTTTGGGTATCTTAAACATTTTTGTTTTCAAAACTGTACAAGGTGCAAATAGTTCAAGTTCTTAGCTTTAAAATGGCTACTTGCACATCTCCATACGATTTTTCTACAATTTATGGTGATTTTTACAAAACTGCCTATCATTTCAAACAACAATCCGGACCAGTTTGTGATTTTGGACTTATTCACCCAAGTTGGAGGTCGTTAAAAATCGTGATAAAAATTATGAGTAAACTAGACACATTTTTCAAACTCTCAGAATTTACGGATCTAGTTTTCGACTTCTTATGAATTTTCTATGATTTTTCCAAAACAGTGCAGAATGGCTAAAGTTAGCCAACAGCATGTAAATATCATAACACTTTGTATTATGTTGAGCAAAGTGTATAATCATAAGTTCTAATCATTGAATGTTTTTCGTTGTTAGTTTATCATCATGAACTGAAACCAAGTCATTCATAATAAATATTATTCATTCATTTTAGAACACGTATATTAAACTATAAAAAGTATAGTTTAGTAAATTCATAACACTAATACATTTTAATAAAAGAGTTTATACATATTACATACATTTTAGATAAACTATAATAGGTATAGTTTACGATACATCACTCAACACACTCGTACAAAAAGGGTACATTCATACAAGAAAGATTTATATTCACACACATTTCACGTAAACTTGTTAACCTATATTGTGAGACTCTCTCTCTCTCTCCCCGTACGTCCGAGTGCGGGATATAATTCCTGGTAGTTATAATCAGAATCTCCTTGAGGGAGAACGTGATACTTGTATATAGATCTATATTGGGTTTGACACCCCACACCTTTCTGCTAGCTACAGTTGGACCTGCAGGTCTACGGGTGACAAATGTCATTTTAATTTTCGCGACGCCTGAGAACGTCGTGGCAGGTTCACACAGTCATAGTATGATTATAGCGACTCACATAGGATATAACAATCCATAAGTTTACGGGATTTTATTTTTAAAACCTAAATGACTTTTATGTCGATTTAAAATCACTTTTTATCTCTATGAGTACATATTTTACTGTACACTTTTGGTTTTGGTAGTTACGACTACACATCATTTGAAACCACATTTATACCTTTAAGTATGGTCAATACTTGTTATTACTCGGTCCTCTAATTTAGGACATATATATATATATATATATATATATATATATATATATATATATATATATATATATATATATAATGTATTAACAAACATGAGAACGTACAGAAATTTCATTTAATTCAAAAGCGTCCATGTCCATTTAAATACATAACATTTTCTACTAATAAGAAAGGTTACTTATACATTTTGGTCTTCAGTCATAAGACTACATTACACAGATTTTAAAGAAAATATCGGATTTTCTGGATACATACTCTAACGCTTTTTCGAGGAAAACGATTTACTTTTCTAACGAAATTCTTATGAACTCACCAACCTTTGTGTTGACACTTTTCAAAACTACTTGTATTCTCAGGAATTCAGTGAAAACAGGAAATCAACAACGTTTTGAGGATGGGACGATAAATCGTCAAACAATTCATTTTGTATCATAATGTAATTGATGTGAATCATGTAAACATGTGCTTTGATGTAACGTTTTCAATTATATTTGTGTTGGTTGTATTTACTTTGAGCACTATTATACTCATCGTTGTGATACTCTACATGAAGTCATCCACCCCCGGACGTTTCCGCCATCCTTGGTTTGGGGGTGTGACAGATTGGTATCAGAGCATTGTTTATAGTGAACTCAGTATATCAAACCACATAAGATATACAAACTATAAATGCATTGGGACTAAGTCTCTGATTTAAAGTTTCAAAACAACTATACTTTTAGAAATAAATAGTTTCTTATTAAAGGTATACATGCATACATACATATTAAGGTCAGCACCACTCTAGAACAAAACAAAAGTAATGATTGTCGAATATCACAGGTAAGCTCGGGGATGTATGGTCAGTCTTGGGAGTGGCATAGCCTGATCAACTATGCTGGTCCGAGGAGTGATTAGCACATGCCCAAGAATAGTTGTGATATGGCGACAAGTCTAAAAACTTACCAACACTACCACAATGAGAACATTAGAAGAGAACATGAGTTTAA